CCTGTCTCGGGCACTCACAAACCAGAGGGCTCTGGCTTCTGGAACTTTCCTTCCCAGGTGAGTGCAGCCCTTGCTGCAGTGCCCAGCCCTCCAGAGCCCTTTGGGAAGGTCCTTGGCTGGTCCTTGACACTGGCACTGTGGCACCCCATGAGTCACTCCTCAACTTCCCAGAGTCATTGCACGTTGTTTCTTCTTTTCAAATTGCTCCTGACATCCCCAAATCCGTGGTGCTATAAAAACAGCCCAGCTTGTGCAGCTGCTTATTTCCTGTCTGACTGTATGAACCTCACTGGGCTTTAACTTTGTCAGCCCGAATCGCTGCCCAGGACTCTCATTTTAAAGTCTGTCCCCTCTAATAAGGATGAAATGTGGATGCTGCCAAAGAGTATCTGCTGGCTTTGCAGTGGAAGGCCTTCATCCTCCCGTGTTCTACCTGGGACTGGGGAGGATCATCTCCTTCTCCAAGCAGTAGGACTTGCGTGACTGCCGTGGAGCTCTGACTTGCTGCTCATGAATATTTCCCTAGAAAATGCTTCACTCTTCAAGTGCAGTGGAAATACATCCTGTGTTTTGAAGACTCTTTAAATTATTAGTCTAACACAACTTCTCTTGGGAGAAGCTCCAGTCAAAAGCCTGGAATTGAATGTAAAAACAGTCTCTTTCAGACCCCAGAATTATTTGGGTTGGAAAAGATCTCCAGTGCCACAGAGTTCAAGCTGTGCCCAATCCCCTCCTTGTCCCCAGCCCAGAGCCCTGAGTGCCACATCCAGATGTTGCTTGGACACCTCCAGGGATGGGCACTCACAGCCTCCCTGGGCAGTTCCAATCCCTGAGCACCCTTTCCATGGGGAAATTCCTGCTGTGCCCACCCTGAGGCTGCCCTGGCCCAGCCTGGGGCTGTTCCCTCTCCTCCTGTCCCTGTTCCCTGGGATAAGATCCCAAATCCCCCCCGGCTGTCCCCTCCTGGCAGGAGCTGTGCAGAGCCACAAGGGCCCCCCTGATCCCCCTTTTCGCCAGGCTGAGCCCCTTCCCAGCTCCCTTATCCATTTCTCCTAGGATTTACTGTCTGCTTTATCCAGGTGCCTCATGCCAGTGTGGGAACAGGAGTTTGATGCTGAACAAAAATTCATTGAGGTATCTGGCAGTGATGTCCACGAAAGAAAAAAGTCCATCATATATATTGTGAATAAACTCTTGGTTTAGGATCTTGGTGAGTTCAGGAACAGACAAGGAGACAATGTAGGGGTTTGTGGCCATAAAGGCAATTTTCCTTTTCAGAGAAGGTGTCCCTGCCCACGGCAGGGATTCCAATGAGGTCTTTAAGGTCCCTTCCACCCCAAACCATGCTGTGGTTCTCTGATTCCTTGTCAGGTTGTTGTCGTTATTGCTGGGAAGAGCCAGGGATGGAAATCTGAGCTGCCCAACCTGGATTTCATGGCCACTGTGTATATTTAGCTCAGGGTTCACCAGCCTCTGCCTTTGGGCACCCGACACCCTGGGACTGCTTTGCATGTGGAATGTTGGAGCTGGGATGGGCAACGCCCCTCTTGGCTCCTCTATCAAGTGATCTTCATGGCCTGTGTGTGTTGGAGACAGGAGCTATTTAAAGGGAGCTGTTTATCCAGAGCTTTGGAAAGCAGGCCTGAAGGGTCAGAGAACAGGAAACTCCAAGGTTGAGGGGCTTTCTCCTGCAAGGCACAGAAACACTCCTGAATCTGGGCTGGGAAAACAGAAAGTGCTGCTTGTTTAGGGAATTTGAGGGAGCTGATAAGGGGTTCTGAGATGGGGAATGGCACATTCTTTCTTTGTTCCAACCTCAGTGGCACTGGAGTGCATTCCACCTGGCTGGGATCAGTGATAATCCCGAGCACTGCTCTGCTCCCTGTCTGGCATCCTGAGCAGGGGCTGAGACCATCACTGTGCACACAGAAAGCTCTGGATTGCTGGAACTGGAGACTGTCCAGTGGTGATCCTTCTGGGAGGTGGATGGGGACAGTTGCTGGTTCATCCTTTTTGGGTGGCTGAGCAAGATGGGCTCGGTGCTTTTCCCCAGGACCAGGCAGAGCTGGGAGTTCATCTCCAAAGGACTCTCACTGCAAGCTGCTAGAGATGAGAAGGTGCTACTGAAAGTAGTAAGAACCATCAAAATTACAAAAACCTGAAGGGCATTGTTAATGTTTGCCCTGGAATGTGGGTATTATTTTGGAACTCCCTGGAATAACCAGTGTTAGAGATGGGGTGTGCTTGCTGAGCTCCTGGGTGGGAGCCTGGGGTACTCAGTGTGCTAATGGGATGCAGGGATGCAGTTCTTCTGGGAGGGGAATCTCTGAAGTTGGAATGCTCTGCACTAACAGGATGGGGAGTAGAGGAGCTGAGGAACAAGAACTACTGGTGCAGGATGTGGAACTGGATCTTACAGGGCCAGCCAACAGGAGCAGTCTGCAGGCCAGGCAGTGCCTGTTCCCTGATAGTGCAGGCAGGGCCCTCTGGGGAGTGGCATTCATGAGATCCCTGCTTCCCTTGGTGCTGCTTTTCCATGGCAGCTCTGGGGAAACGGTGCTGGGGAGGGAGGAAGGAACTTGGGAGCTTGGGTCACCATGCAGGGGCATTAAAACAGTTAAACTCCTTAAAACAGTTCTCAGAGGTATTTCTCCAAACTAGAGAGCAGTCCTGCATAACTATGGGCCACAGGAGCTGGGATTTGCTGGATATATGGGTTTTCTCCTCTTCAACAAGGCTTCTGGAACAGTCAGAGTCTTCCTCAATTTATTATGTGAGGGGATGGGGTAAAACCTCTCAGATTATTTTAAGACCCAACACATAAGAAATCTTTGCAGCCACACCTTCAATTTCAGCAAATCTGTTGGTTTTTAGGTATTTAACACTTCTGCTTGTCAGTGAGAACACCCCCTAACTTAAAGAGCATCATTTTTACAGTGGGGGCAGTTAAGACCCCCACAGTACAGGAATTCTGCCCTTCAGGGGTTATTTAGCTAGCAACCAGAGGTGCAGCTTTACCACAGAAAAAGTTGGTTTGCCCAGACCAAGAAGCTGTGGTGGATTTTATCTCACAGTTACCAGGCTGACCCAGCACTGCCCCATTTGGACTGGAGCAGCACTAAAAAAGGAGCTCCTGCTTCTCATTTTCTTCAATTCTGCCTGAAAAGAGAGGTCTCTGGGTTGTTTTTCTTAACAAATAAGGTAAAGTTTTGGTGATTTCAGTGCAAAGAGATTGGAATCTCAGTGTGTGAGAGTGTATCACAGCAAGAGCTGTGGGCTGGAGGCCAGGGGAGCAGCCAGTGGGGCTGTGATGCCCTGGGAGGGGCTGGGGGTGTTCTCTGTGCAAGCAGCTGCAGAGAGGGACCCTGATGTCCCAGTTTGTCCCAGCGTGGCTCACCTGCCAGTAAGGATGTGGGGAAAGGAGGTGTGCTGTTGGTTTGTGGTGTGTGTTAGCAGTGTCCCTCTGGGGCAGGCACCGAGCACCTGGTGCAGCTGAATCCTGCACCAGAGGCTCCTGTCCTTAATTAATGTGGCAACTCCCCTTCCCAGCCCTTCTGAAGGGAGCAGGACTCTTCTGGAGGGCTTTTCTCACTCCTGAGTGCTTCACTGAAGCATTTAAAATGACACTTTTCACTGGGCTGTTTCCCCATTTAGCTAAAAGCTCTGGCATTTCATTTCCCTGGAACACGAAGTGTCCATCTGTGGGGAGAGGAACATGGACTGGTGTTTCTGTGGCTGCTGGGCAGGTACTGAGATTATCTTTTCCTGGGAGATTGGCTGGATGACCTGCAGTGGTGGGGAACAAGTTGGACATTTATTTCTCCATGGGGATTGAAATACTTTAACTCTGTGGCTCAGTTTATGTTCTCTTCTGCAAGGGGGCTAGAAGGAGTAATTACTGGGATAGAATCTTTTTAACAGTTGTGTTTGCTTTACAATTAAGAAACATTATCAACAGAATGTAAAATATTTAAATAGAAAAATTTGGAATAGAACAGCCAGGTGAGGAGATGGTTCCTGGTAAATGGTGGAATCATGGCAAAAGTAGGAAATGAGCTGGAGCTGATCAGGGGGGCTCGTGACTGGGATGTGGCTGTCACAGGTGGCTGGGCAGGTGTGACAGGGACTGGCAGGGCCCTGTGAGCTCTTAAGCTATTCATTGAGCACCTGAAATGCTGCTTAGGGCAGGGATGTCCTGATCAGCCTGCATTAATTCAGCTTTAATGCTGTGTTTGGAGAAACCTATTAAGGTGTGCAACGGGGGAGAAGTGGCTCACAGTTTTCATGGAATATCCTGAACTGCTGAGCAAGTGTGGATGGGAAATAGCAATCACAGGGTGGCTGGAATGTGGGGGGCCCTCTGGGTGTCCCCAGGCCACCCCCCTGGCAGGGCAGGGTGCCCTGGGCTGTGTCCAGGGGGGTCTGGGATGTCTCCAGAGAGGAGACTCCAGCCCCCCTGGGAGCTGTTCCAGGCTCTGCCCCTCCATGGACAGAGGCTGCTCCTGCTCTGAGCTGCAGCTGTTGTGGTTTGCTTTGTGGCCACTGCTCCTTGTCCTGTCACTGAGCAGAGTCTGGCACCCTTCTCCTGGCACACAGGTTGAGGATTTGTGTGGATGGATGGGATCCCTGGGAGCAGGCCCAGCTCCTGCAGTCCCTGCTCATCAGGGATGTCCCAGAGCCCTGAACATCTCTGTGGGCCCTGCTGGACCCTCTGCAGCAGCTCCTGAGGAGCCCAGAGCTGGATGTGACACCTCAGCTGTGGTGAGCAGGGCTGAGTAGAGGGGCAGGATCCCCTCCCTCACTCCTGACCCCAGCACCAGGAGATCTTACTCCTGCTGAGGAGGGAACACCAGGAAAAGCTGCCTGGATCACTGTGGGGGACTGCAGCAAAACCTGCCAGCTCTCAGTTAATTGTGGGTAACAGCACTCATGTCCCAGCATCCCTGACTGCTGCCATCCAGGCTCTGTGCTCACACAGTTCCTTCTGCTTTGTCTTGCAGATAAGCAGCTCCTGAGGACTGAAGTACCTGCCCAGGGAACACCTGCTCCTGAGGTAGGAACTGATTTTCTACTGACCCAACAGGAGATGTTTCATTCAGAAGCAGGGTTTGGTGCAGCTGTGCTGGGAACTGCAGCCACCACCCAGGGATCTGAGATGAGAGTTCTGCCACTGGGAACCTGTGTGGAGCAGGCATGGCTGGAATGCACTTACCTTCCCATTCTGTTCTGATAAACCTTCTAATTACTGCTCTTTTACATCCTGCCAGTTAAAATCCTTCCAGACAGAGTCATAGAAAGGTTTGAGTTGGGTTAAACCCATCCAGTGCCACCCCTGCCATGGCAGGGACACCTCCCACTGTCCCAGGTGCTCCAAGCCCTGTCCAGCCTGGCCTTGGGCACTGCCAGGGATCCAGGGGCAGCCACAGCTGCTCTGGGAATTCCATCCCAGCCCCTCCCAGCCAGGAATTCCCAGTTCCCAATATCCCATCCATCCCTGCCCTCTGGCAGTGGGAGCCATTCCCTGTGTCCTGTCCCTCCATCCTTGTCCCCAGTCCCTCTCCAGCTCTCCTGGAGCCCCTTCAGGCCCTGCCAGGGCTCTGAGCTCTCCCTGGAGCCTTCTCCTCTCCAGGTGAACATTCCCAGCTCTCCAGCCTGGCTCCAGAGCAGAGGGGCTCCAGCCTTTCAGGTATTTACTGAAGTTTCAGACATTGCTGGGGTTCTGTTTGGGGTAACAGGGCTGGTGTGGAACTCCATGTTTATCTTTTCTGGCCACTTGGACTTTCCTTCCTTGCCTTTTCTGCTTCAAAGGGCTCACATCTTGTTTAACTTGGTCATTCAAATCTTCTTTTTATCAGAGTAAGAGGACTACAAAAGATTAAAATGGGTAAACTAGGCTAAGAAAAACAAGTCTGATTTGATTTGTTAGGAATTGGGAGCAGCAGATCATCCAGGTTTTTTATCTTAGCTGTCCTTTGGGGAAGGCACAGCAAAGCTGCAGTTCTGGAATGTGCCATCAGCTCTGCAATGGGGATGTTTGAGGTGCAGGTGCTCACCTGATGTGCTTTGGGGGAGGAATTACAATTTATTCCAGATTTTTGTGTGCACTCAGAGACCCAGGTGTATTCTGCAGAGCAGTTTGGGATTGTTCTCAAATGCTGGTTCTGTCTTGAAGTCCTGAGAGGAATATCTGCTGTTTTCTTCCCTGTTTGACCCATCCATCTGCCTTTTCCTGTAAAAATGCCTGAGCTGAAGGTGGCAGAGCTGGTTCCACCCAGTGACCCTTGGCTGTCAGGAGTGCAGAGGGGTCACCTGGACAGAGCTCTAACACCTTGATTTACCATCACCAGCTCTGCCCACTGCCATCTGGAACTGCCTGCAGGTCACAGGAGCCTCACAAGTCTCCTAAAACTCAGTTATGGAATAAAATTATTCCTCAGGTGCCTTTTCTTTTCAGTATCCTTAAATGTCAGATGCAGAGATAACACTGTAGGTGCAGAATTCTTTATTTTCAGTGGGGCTGGTGCTCCTGTTCATGGTGGGACTGGAAGAGGCTCCTGTGTCCCAGTTCCTGAGGGGGCTGGAAGGTTTGGAAGGTGCTCCCAGTTCCTGAGGGGGCTGGAAGGTGCTCCCAGTTCCTGAGGGGGCTGGAAGGTGCTCCCAGTGCTGCAGGGGCTGTGCCCAGGCTCCCTGGGCCATTCCCAGCTCCTGCTGCTGCTCCCAGGGCTGTGGCCACCAGCCAAACCATCTTAAGCTGTTGTCTCAAAGCCACTTGAAGAGAAGCCAAGGAAGATGGCTTATCCCCCCTGGGTGGGCTGGGGGAGGGCTGTGCCCAGAGCTTGTCCCCACGTGCTTGTCCCCGTGGCCTGGGTGGACCTGCAGGGGTCACAGGGTGTCACCACCTGACAGGGAAGGTGACAGAGGAAAGGGAGAGCTTGGTGTTTTCCTCCCCGCACCTGCCAGTCTTGAGTGTGGTTTTTTTCTCCTCTTTTCTACCTCTCTTGGCCTGGCCCAGTGTGGTCTGAAGGTCTGCCAGGCTGCTGGGATGTCTGGGCTGGGTTTGGACTTCATGGAATGTCTCCAGTTGGAAGAGACCCTTAGGGATCATCGAGTCCAACTGCCTGCTCCTCATGGGAGCACCTAAAACTGGATGCCATGCCTGAGAGTGCTCCCCAGGCACCCCTGGGCTCTGGCAGGTCGTGTTGTACCTCCCAGCTCGTGTTTGCCAGCAGGATTTCCCCCCTTGCATTTCTCCCTTGTGCAAAGAGGGAGTTGTGGCAGGATTGCCTCCTGCAGTCCCAGGCATCCCTGGCTCCACAGCTCCAGGCTTCCAGGAGGTGCAGAGCCAGCAGGTGTTTCCCACTGAGCAGCTGAAGTGCTTCCTGCAGGGATTCATTTGGAATGTTTCACCCAGGCTCATTGACTGTGAGGATGAGGAGCAGCAGTTTCTTCCTCCCCCACGTCCTCGGGAAGCTGGGAGAGCAGGCACGAGGGAGGAGCCCTGCTGGGAGCTGGGCTGCTCCTGCCTGGATTCACCTGCCTGAGGATATCTTGGGGTCTTTACAAACCTCAGACTGTCCCTCAGGACTCCCCCAGTTCCTCCTGCTCACTCCTCTGGGAGCTCTTCCAGCCAAGCCCAGGGAATGTTTGGTCATGATGGTGGCACCTGGATCTCCACTTGGTTCTTGTGGTGGTTCCACTTGTCCAGGTGGGGAGAAAACACTCTGAAAATGTTATCTGCTGGATAAATTGATATTTTGTTGTGTAATAGCTCTAACTGGGAAGAAGCACCCAGAAACCCACATCTTTAGGGTCAGTTTTATGGGATGTGGGGCCGTGGCAGAGGGTGCCCAGAGCAGCTGTGGCTGCCCCTGGATCCCTGGCAGTGCCCAAGGCCAGGTTGGACAGGGCTTGGAGCACCTGGGACAGTGGGAGGTGTCCCTGCCATGGCAGGGGTGGCACTGGATGGGTTTTAGGGTCCCTCCAACCCAACCCATTCAGGGATTTGAGGATTCTGAGTCACTTTACCACTTAAGGTTTTACTTTCCTAAAGTGATGTGAACTAAAATCAAAAGGTTTTTATTTTCAGTTCTACACTGAATAGTTACTTTTTTATTCCCTTCTTTTTCCCCTTTTGGAAGGGAGTTGCTGTGTCCAAGGGCACCTCAGTGTGGCCCTGGACCCTGCAGCCACCCCTGGGATAAGAAAGTGAATCATTCTCTAAGGAAACCACCACACCATGCCTGATAACGCTGCAGGGACACCTGCAATGTCTTTATTGCTCTTTCTTTCATGAAATCTCAGCTTTTGTTTTCTAACCAAAGCCTTGTTTTCCAGGCACCCTTGAATGTGTTTGTTATCAGGAGCACGGAAATGTAAATACAATGGTGGTTGGGCTGCAGCAGCTCCTCCCTTCCTCCCCCTGCCTTCCTGCGTGCTCTTGGGAAGGGGGGAGCTGTTCTTCTGCATTAATTCATTCAGAAAGGACTGTTCTTGCCCCTGCTGCCACCTCATCAGATTTCAGGGAGAGACAATTCTCTCCTTGAGACCCAGAACTCACACAAGGCCTCGTGCTGTGGCTCCTCTTGGCATTTCCCCAAGCTCCTGCCTACCAGCACATCCCATTTTTTAACTAGATAAGCCACACAGGCACTGTTCTGCTTGAACTAAGACTGCATTCTTCTCCTTGCAACATTTGAGCTCATTTCCTAGAAGAAAAACTGAAAAAACTGGAGCCTTCACCAGCCTGAGTCTCACAGCCTGAACTTTGCAGCAGTTTTGAGAGTTTTGCCCAAGTGAGGCTGTGCTGGATGTGCTTGGTCACTGGGAGCTAATGTTGGTTGATCTCTCAGTCAGCAGGAATTTTGTCATTAAAAGCAGGTCAGGACAGCAGAAAGGCTCCAGTGTAGAATTTGTTCTTTGGCCTCACCCGGGAGGAATTGGGCTCAGCTGTTGGATGTGAGCAGTCACTTGGCCTCACTCTGTGCCTGTCATCTGCTTTTTTTACTGGCTCTGTCATGAACTTTGTGTGGCAGGAACAACTTTCTGGGCACTTATTTCTCCTCAGTTAGCAGGCCCTTCTTGCCTGAGGTGCCACAGCAGATGTGTGATGTGTCTGTGCCACGCTGGGGCTGGCCCTGGTCACTGCCCAGGAGCCCAGTGCTGCTCCTCTGGCCCTGGGCCAGCTGTGGGGCTGAAGCAGCTCAAGAAAAATCCCTGGGATCCTCTCTAAGAATAAACATCACGTGAGAGCAGGAGTGTCCCCCTGCCTGGGCAGAATTAAGTGTCCTGCTGGGAGGCAATAGCAGCAGCTTAAGGGCTGGGCTGGCATCCCCTGGCTGCAGGGATGGGCTGCAGGGCCCCGGAGGGGCTGCTCTGCACCTGCAGCTTCCCCTGCTCCTGAGCATGAGAGGTGCTCCCAGAGCTGCTGGGTTCATCAATCAGCAGTCCCCGAGTCCCTTTTGAAGGAGGTGGGGATGTGCCTGCTGAGCTGAGCTCCCTCTGGGGGGAATGCTGCTGGATGTGCCTCTGAGCACGTTCTCAGGCACTTCCCTGGAGCTGGGGCTCTGTCCCTGCCCCGGGCAGCACAGGAGCTGCAGGGCTGCTACTGCCTCGTGGCTCCTGCTCTGGGGAGCTGAGCTAATTCATGTTCCCAGGAATTCCCTGGTGGAGAAGGTCCCTCTCTGCACTAACACTGGAGCTGTGAATGTCCCTCAGAGCACCCCGAGTTGTCCCCTGGGGAGTTTGGGGTGACTCTCTGCACCTTTCCCTGCCTCACACCCCATTCTGGAGCTCAGTTGTCCTTCTGCCTGTCCTTGGGAGCTGCAGCACCAGCTCAAGAAAAATCCCTGGGATCCTCTCTAAGAATAAACATCACGTGAGAGCAGGAGTGTCCCCCTGCCTGGGCAGAATTAAGTGTCCTGCTGGGAGGCAATAGCAGCAGCTTAAGGGCTGGGCTGGCATCCCCTGGCTGCAGGGATGGGCTGCAGGGCCCCGGAGGGGCTGCTCTGCACCTGCAGCTTCCCCTGCTCCTGAGCATGAGAGGTGCTCCCAGAG